CCAAACTGAGAAACTATCAACCAATTAAAGTATTTGAACAATTCACTTCAAATCTGACTAAAGAGAATTCAAATCTTTACCAAAACAACGTAAACACAAATATCTCTTGTCAACCCAATATACAAGTGGTTTGCAAAATCGACACAGTACAGATGACTGTCTAGTAAGAGTCAGCTCCAAATAAAATCTGAATAAAAATACAGTTTAAACTGGAGATGATTAGTCATATAATCTTTGTTTCATAACCAATCATAATGTGAAAGAAATTAGGAATTTAATTTAATTATTCTGATTTGAATCAACATGACTCACTTCCTATATAAACAGTGTATTTTTATTGAGGCTCCCAGAGGTATATTCAGTTGCTATTATCCAATGCATCATGAGCAGCCACAACTCTGCTGTCTACCCCTAGGTTGCTGTCATCTGCTTTTTAGTTCTTTTAAGCTATAATCCATTTTTATAGCCACCTAAAAAAGCTAAGTTTGCTTGGTTTTAGAACAGGAATCATGCAAAGGTCCAGATGTTGTTAGACTACAACTCAATAATAGTAAATGATTGTATTTTAATTTAGATTTATATGTTGGGTTATTATTTTTGTTATTATGTGATTATTGATTGTCATATTCAGGCACTGAATCTTTGCCTTTTTGTGACTCGAACAAACTCTGAGTTTGTTGCTGATGAGGAAAGCTGATGAGGAAACACAACATACAAACTATCTACACCAAGAAAATCCAACAAATGCTACATTCAGCAAAGGACAAGAGGGATCCTCTCACCTCTGCAGGAGTCTACCGTGTACCATGCAGCTGTGGACAAGTCTACATAGGGACCACCAAACGCAGCATTGCCCAAACACAAATCAAGGAACACGAAAGGCACTGCAGACTACTTCAACCATTAAAGTCAGCCATAGCAGAGCACCTGATGAACCAACCTGGACACAGCATATTATTTGAGAACACAGAAATGCTGGACCACTCTCACAACCACCATGTCAGACTACACAGAGAAGCCACTGAAATCCACAAGCATGTGGACAATTTCAACAGAAAGGAGGAAACCATGAAAAGGAACAAAATCTAGCTACCAGTATTAAAAAAACCCTGAAATTACAACAGCAAAACAACAGAGAGGAAACAATCAGGGACATCTAATCACCTCTCAACAAAAGATTGACCTAGGCACTAACAAGCCACACCAAACAACTGCCAGGCCATCAAATGCCAATCAAGGTGGTCAGTTGAAACATTCACACCTAGCTCCAACAGACAAGAGTTCTTTGTCCCACCCTGGTCATTCCACAGATATATAAATCCATTTTCCTAGTTCCAACAGACTTCACTACCTCTGTGGATGCTTGCCATAGATGCAGGCGAAACGTCAGGAGAGAATGCCTTTAGAACATGGCCATATAGCCCGAAAAAACCTACAGCAACCCAAACTTTGCCCTTCCAGGACATAGGGTGGAATAAAAATAAATTATTATTATTATTATTATTATTGAAAGATGACAGGACTTTCCATTCAATGTTTTGAAGGTTGCACACTACCCATCCGTACTTTAGCAAAATATGTTCCAAGTTCCTCAGTTGCTGCAATACATATAAGAAAATAGCAGTAAAGTGTGTGGGACAGATGTGGCAAAGCATGTGAAGGGTAGGGCAAGGGGTCCTATAATGAAGTGATCTGTATAGAGTGGAAGCTGAGAGAAAAATAAAAATCTGTTTGGACAACTTTTTTTCTATGATGGCCCTTCCCTAAAGATCATGGTTCCAATTCGACCTGTAGGTAGCTCCAACTTGGTCAGACAAATGATGTTCCTCCATATTTGAAATAGGCACTGAAAAAAATGAAACTATCAGCCACTGTTTTGCTGTCACCGTGATTCTACATTAACTGAACGTGTCTTGAAGATGCTCCTGAACAGAAGGTGATAACACCAAGGAGTCTGGATGTGCCATTTGTGTTCAATCAAGCTTGACGCTGAGCTTGGATTATTCACTCGACCGTTCACAATTAAATCAAACTTACAAGCTGGAGCTCTCGCATGCCAACCGCATGCAGAGCTTGTAACTCCAGGAAAGCCCTGAGGGTTCTTTCACATGTGATTATGCATGAAGGAGAAACTAAGAAGGAAAAAAGACCCTAATGAAGCCGCCTCCTCTATCAGCTGGGGGCGGGGAGGGGGGATAGTAGGCTGGATGAGCTCAACATCTTATCTTGTACTTATCACCATACATCCTTCTGTTTGAAAGGCAATTATGCTATTAGTTGGGAAAGGGAATGTAAATATGATTATTCCAAAGTAATTTGAAAAATGATCATCTCATGCTTCCTAGAAGTATCTTGTTGGTCAAATACTGGAAATAATGCTGGACAAGACAATCCTTTAACCTGATCAATAATCAGAAACTCAATACCTCATGGCAGTCCCACAATATCCTAACTACAGTTAGGTCTGCTCTAATCTAATGTTATAAATAAATAACATTTCCAACGCTTTGAAAATGTTCACTTTTGGAAAAACAAATTAAGGCTACATTTGAATAATAATAACAATAACAATAACAATAACAATAACAATAACAATAACAATAATAATAATAATACACAGTCCTAGATGCTTGGGAAGTGTTTGACTTGTGATTTTGTGATACGAAATCCAGCAAATATATCTTGTTTGCTGTGACATACTGTGTTTTTGTGTCAGCAAAATAATAATAATAATAATAATAATAATAATAATAATCAGCTGACACGATATGAGTATTCAAAGATCGAACTGCAAAACTCTGGCAAAAGCCAGTCATGGTCCCAGTGGTGATTGTCACACTGGGTGAAGGGAAGACCTTGGCCTGCACTTAAACACAATCGGCACTGACAAAATTACCCTCTGCCAGCTGTAGAAGAATGCCTTACTGGGATCTGCACGCATTATTCGCCAATACATCACACAGTCCTAGTCACTTGGGAAGTGTCCGACATGTGATCCAACACAACAGCCAGCAGAGTGTCTGCTGTGGACTCATCTTATGTTTATAATAATAATAATAATAATAATAATAATAATAATAATAATAATAATTTTAAAAACAGCACTTTATTTACGTATATTCCACCCTATCTCTCCGAGGAGATTCATTGCAGATTACAGCATATATATACAGACACAGGCAAACATTAAATGACTTGATACAATGAAACAGAAATAAAAGGGCAAGAAATTAAAGTTAAGGCATATGCAGATGACATTGTGGTCATTACAGAAGATCCTATAAAGAGTAAACCAAATTTGATGGGAATAATTAGTAAGCACGGACGTGTGGCAGGTTTTAAAATAAAGAGAAACAGATGTTTTTAGCTAAAAATCTTTCAAAAAATAATATTGAAAAACTGAAGAGTGTTTCAGTGTATAAGGTCACGAGGAAAGTTAAGTATTTAAGAATATGGATAACTCATAAAATTATAATTTATATCAAGGTAGCTATGAGAAGGCATGGAAGGAGGTTAAAAAAAAGACCCAGACAGATGGCAAAGGATTAAATTATCCTGGTTAGAAAGGATATCCATGCTAAAAATGACAATTTAACCAAAAATCGAATAAGACTTTTCAAATGTGGAAACCGCACGTTAAGGACATTAAATTTATTTATTTATTTATTTATTTATTTATTTATTTATTTATTTACTTTGCTTATATACTGCTGTTCTCAGCCCGGGGGCGACTCACAGCGGTGTACAACATAGAAGGAACAAAATTCAAAAATTCAAGACATAATCTAAAATCCACATCCAGCAATAAACAAAAACATCATAATCAAAAACATCATCAACAAGACATCATCATTACTACAAAAGCCATTCCGCGTCGTCTCATCGTCCAAACCACAATCTAGTATCATGTCCGTTGTTCCAATCCTATCATCATTACCAATCATTGCACTTCTTGTTTGAACGCCTTCTTGAACAACCAAGTTTTTAATTTCCTGCGGAATATTATCAGGGAAGGAGCCATTCTGATGTCCACGGGAAGGGTGTTTTCCATAGCCGAGGAGCCACCACCGAGAAGGCCTTATCTCTTGTCCCCGCCAGCCGTGCCTGTGAAGCAGGCGGGATCGAGAGCTGGGCCTCCCCGGAAGATCTCAAAGTCCTGGTGGGCTCGTAGGTCGATATGCAGTCGGACAGGTATCTTGGGCCGGAACCGTTTAGGGCTTTATAGGCCAACGCCAGCACCTTGAATTGAGCCCGGTAGCAAATCGGCAGCCAGTGGAGCTGGTACAGCAAGGGGGTTGTATGTAAATAAAGGGGCTTCCTTAAGATTTCACGCCAACCCATTTGGCACAATTTGTAGTGAAACAAAGAGTAGGGAAGAAATAATAGCTTTTGCTTCAACGTTGTTAGGATATTCCATCAGGTGTCTTTCAAGTAATGCTTTTCATCTTGTCCCAATACATATTTACTGTGTATGTTACTTCATTCAATTAAGTTCCATCTTTCTTCTTTAGATAACTGCTGAACTATCTTTTCTTCATCATGTTCCTCTTATTTCCACAATGCATCCGATCAATGATAACAATGGTTGCTCTTCAGCTTTTGGGGGAGGACCAATCCCAGTTTGCCCCCAACTTACTTCTTTGTTGATCCTCCTGACTTTGGCTTGAGAATCCTTCAATACCCTCCCCTTTCCCCCTACTTCGCATTGCCTAAGACCAACTAGTAGAATGCAGTCTACTCTAGTAGGCCACACCTTCCCAATACAATGAGAAGTAGTTGAGTTCTCTTATGTTGAATATTCAATCATTTCCCTTGAGGCACCCTGTGATAAAAATCTTTTCTTTCTTTTTTTTCAAAGAGAGAGCAAACTTTGTTAGAGGAATAGAAAACATATCACAAACATTATCATACAAAGTAAGATAAAAATGTTAGCCTCTGGAGAGTGTTAGGTCCCCAAGAGGATGTTTTTCAGCAATATTTTGTTCAGTGTCTGGACTTACTTGGGCTTGGCAACCACAAGGATATCTGTGAAGAGGAAAAGGTGGCGTTCCTGGGTCTGTAGACCTGTCTTCAGCTGCACATGTCCATCCAGAAGGAATGCTCTGGTGGGGCAGAGGAAGGACTGTACAAGTGGACATGTCTCTGGACTGATGGGGGAGAAGCAAGCTTCCCTGTAGGCAAAACAAAAAGAAGAATAGGTGATCCAACTTGAAGAATAAGCTCTCAGAAAAGCTGCAAAGCTGAAGGAAGAACACCAACACTCATTTGTGATTTGAAATGCAGACGATAATCTATCGAACTCATAAATGGCGATGAAATGCAAATAACATTAAGGGATAAAAGAGTATAGTCTCCAAAATGACAAGTCATTCAGTACTTGAAAATGACTATCTTCGGTATAAATAAAAATGTAATGTTCGTTAGTGGGATTAACATAACTCAAAAACTACTGGACGTATTGACACCAAATTTGGACAGAATACACCTAACAACCCAATGAGTGACCATCACTAAAAAAAATGATTTTGTCATTTGGGATCTGTAGTTGCTGGGATTTATAGTTCACCTACAATCAAAGAGCATTCTGAACTCCACTAATGATAGAATTGAACCAAACTTGGCACACAGAACTCCAACAACCAACAGAGAATACTGGAAGGGTTTGGTGGGCATTTACCTTGAGTTCTAGAGTTACAGTTTACCTACAGCCACAGAGCACTGTGGACTCAAACAATGATGGATCTGGACCAAATTTGGCACGAATATCCATATGCCCAAATATGAACACAGATGGAGTTTGGGGAAAATAGACTTTGACATTTGGGAGTTGTGGTTACTGGGATTTATAGATCACCTACAATCAAAGAGCATTCTGAACCACCACCACCCCACCGATAGTATTGGGCCAAACTTCCCACACAGAACCCCTATGACCAACAGAAAATTCTTAAGGCCATCCAGTCCAATTCCCTTCACTAGGGCAAGGAAATGTAATCAAAGCCCTCCTGACAAAGGGTCATCCAGTCATAGATATAGATAGATAGATATGATTCATACACAGAGATAAAGTATCATAGATTTGAAAGGGACCCATTGAGAAGGACAATTATATGTTGCATGTTCCAGAGTAGGCAAACCAGACAATCTACATCAACACTGACAAAGAAACAACAAGAAATAATGTTTACCCACAAGCATAAAAAAATTACATATATTAGAAACCAACATGTTCTCATTATTTTATTTTCTAGATCACCAGACTGGGCCACAGTTCGTTTGTGGGATTAACATAACTCAAAAAACACTGGGCGAATTGACACCAAATTTGAACACAATACACCTATCAGACCAACGAGTGACCATCACTCATAAAAATACTGAAAAACACAGCAGAAGAGACTTTAAAAGCCAAAAAATAAAGTAAAAAATACATTACATCACAAGGTATGTGCATAACCACATAAATACACATATACACAGACTGGGCCACAGCAATGCGTGGCAAGGGGCAGCTACTAATTCATAACTACGTTTCTGAAACTGTGAACACCACTGATTTTCCTTGCCCCGCTCCAAGAAAAACAGCACCTCACAAAATGAAGTTCACCATCAAGAATAACTATCCAGATTCTATTGTCAAGTTTAGCTTTTGGTATTAATTTAGATAAGGCAATGTTTTATTGCGCAGATATGTCAGTTCAAGACTCAGCTTTTTTTCTCCCCTTTTCCCCTCTATCCCCTCACCATCTGCCTGAGTGTTGTTCTCTTGAACCCCAATGACTTCTTCATCCAATCCAATTTATTGAAATGACAACAGTGGGAACAGCTGGCCATCCAAAGAACTTTGCGGGGCCATTGCCTGCGTGAAGGCTCTCCCTGTGCCGGGGTGCTTCTTGGCTTCACCATCCCTGCATTTGCTATGACCCTTGCTGTGTACAGCTGGATTTTTCTGAGGAGTCGAAAATAATTGCTGACTTGGGAAACCCTGACAGCTGGTGCTGGAAGGACACACACTTCAGCATGAGCATGACTCATTTTCAATGTCATGCCGCAGCTATCTACATTCTCCTTGCAGGTCAGTGAGAGTCCAGACTGTATTCTTATTTCCTTGTTCTATCAAGAAAGTGGCATTTTACTGTTTCTTCATTCTCAAAAGACAAAAAAGATATTCATTTTTATATTTATTTATTTATTTATTTGCTATATTTGTATACCGTCCTTCTCTGCCCAAAGGCAATAATAATAATAATAATAATAATAATAATAATTTATTTATATATTGCTCCATCTCCCCGAAGGGACTCAAACATACAAAGTAAAAGGAAGGCAACTCGGGATGGTTTACAGAAGCAGCAATTCAATGCCCACAACACTATAAAAACATTTTAAAACATTAACATATACGATAAAATCATAAAAAATTAATAAAACATAGATCATTTACATCTCCTAGTTAAAAACTTTGTCCAGTCTCGTCATCCAGTAGTCCCAATTTCCTGGTTAATGTGATTGATGAGCTGGTCTGAAGAAATTGTGGGGACCAGTCACCAGTTTCCATAGTTTTCCCCGCTGGCTTATAAAAGTCAGATTTGGAACAGACCTGGCAGGATTGTGTTCATTTCTGAGAGTGAAATTCTCCAATCTTAGGTTGGAAGTTTTGCTCCTCTCCCCAGTTATGGGGGATTCAGACAGCTCCAAAGGTCACAAATGTGGGAATGGCATAATTCTTACCCCCACTTTAAAATGTGTACCTATCAAAAACATTTTGAGTATTCTATGTTAACAATATCTGCACACATATATGAACAAGGAAGACCAGCAGGCATGGCCAGAAACTCACCAAAACTGAGTATACAACCTTAGAACACCCCCTGAATCTTTTGCAATATGCTGTAAGTTCCATAGAATCAAAGAGCT